GAAAGAGAGGGGAGCATGGAGGATAGAGGAGGGAGGTTGCTACTGCCATTAGTTCGAATTGCAGCGATGGTGATGGAATAGGGGTACGAAGAAGAAAAGAAAAAGAAAAGGAAGAAGAAGGGAACTTTCCGGTAATTTCACCTGTTTCCCTCTCAAGAAAATTCCCTCTGGTGAATTCTTTTCCCGCAGCCTCTCGCCTTGTGCTAAAACCCAGTAAGCAAAATCCTCCATTTTTCTATAGAAGTTCTTTCCAGTATCAGCATCAGCCTACTTAACTACTCTCTCTTTGTCTTTCCAATCTCCATAATTATACATTACAATACACCAACCAAAAGTCGTTTTCTTGGTCTCATCGTGGTTCATTCAAATCTTTCTTGATCCCTGGAACTAGTCTTTTAATCCTTCATCATTTGTTCATCGATCCTCTCTGCCATACCAGACCCATGGTGGCCCCTAACATCAGTAACACTGTTGCGAAAATGGCCGGCCTTGTGAAGCCTGCGAGCATACACAGCAGAGGAGCATCGCCAAATTCTTGAATCCCAAGGATGCCGTTGTCAGAGTCAGAGAAATATAGCCGGTGTATCCTCGAGGAAACCAGATCCAATTCGACATGGCATATTACATCATCAACTACTCCAAACTGCGAATCTGGGAGGTATGTGTATGTATGTGCATGGGATTCACGGAACCATTGATGGATGAGTAATGACTTGGTGCTTACACATGGCAATGCCATGGGATGCAGGCACCCGTCCAGAGACCGGACGCCTCACACCGATCTCACATGGCAATCCATCAATGACATGGCAATGTCATGTCCAATGACATGAGTAATGACTTGTTCCTCATACATGGCGCCTCACACCGATCTCACAGGCACATCCCAGCGTGTATTGAGAGCATCTCCCGTATTTATATGCTATTATTTACGGGAAATGTTATTCATTTCTCAATGCATGTTGGGATGTATCTGTGAGGCGCCCTGAGTGAGGAGAAGATCCCAATTCACCTGTCCATCAATTGGTGGTTCATGGCCCTGATTTAATTAAGGCATAGATTTCTTCCTTTCTTATCGTCCAACACTAACGAGAATTGAATTGAAAAGTATACGATAAGGGTGTCAATCGACTGGTTTTGGATTGGACTCGTTCAGTCCAAAATCAATTTGGACATATTGGACGGATTAATAAGATTGGACTAATTCAGTTCAAAATATTTATCAGATTGGATTGGACCTCATTCTTCCATAATAAATTTTTGTTGGATTGATTTGGATTAAGTCGATATTTGGTCCATTGATATAAGATAAGAATATAGGTGTCAATAACTCGGATTTGGGTTAAAACCAATCTAAATCATTGGATAGTCCAGCTGTCCAGCCATTAAATTGGACCAGTCCAAATTATTCAGTGAATTGGATTAGATCTGGTCCCTTTATAATGGATTCACATTGGACTGGAATCCAATTGACACCCCACTATACAGAATGTCTCACTCACAGTATGTCGCTATGTTTCAATTTGTGTCATTTGCCGTTTGTGCAATACAACAAGATGATATGCATCATCTGTTTGATCTCCCAGGCCACTTTTACGCAATGATGGATTGTTACTGCGAGAAAACATGGAGTAACACTCCTCAATGCAAGATCAGATACTGCCATCAGTGTGCCCAGATAAGGTGCGGTGGCCTGCTTAAACAGGCAAGGCGAGAGGTTAGGTAAGTAGTTAGTTGTCTTAGCATTTGCTGACATACCTTGCCTGCTTAAACAGGCAAGATCAGATGCAGAGAGCTGGCTCTAGTTTGAACTTTGAACTCTGGTTTCACAGGGTGATATGTTTCATGAATCTAGTATGCGTTGATTTTATAGTTATCTTCATCAATGGTTTGGTCTATTGATAGAGTATTGTCATTGTCATTATGTGTTTGGTAGTTGATGCCATCGAAAAATGCTTCAGTCCCTGGAACAGTTTGGGCATATCCTGTAAGGAGGAAAACAAGGTTAAAGGGCCCGGGGTGATATCCCGGGCTTGTAATTCAGTGAGTTATAAAGTATGAATTGAATGCTAACCTGCCCCTTATATAGGATTCAGGATGCCTATCAGAGTATATACATATTGGACAGATGTAGGACACCTATTGTAGCTTGAGACACCTAGAGCTTACTTTGCCTTGGTGGAGTTCGTATAGGACACCTGGGGCTTTGTTAAGACATCTGTTACTCGAGTTCGGCCACATAGGACACCTGGGGCTCTGTTAAGACACCTGTTACTCGAGCGTTGCCACATAGTGCTCGACTCAGACATTTGTGGCCTGATTCAGGCCCGTTGGTATTCGGTCGAGACACCTGGAACCTGGCCCGGGCACCTGGAGCCTAATCAAGGCTACCTGTTAAGCCACTTGTAGTATGCATTGGCCACTTGGTGCATAGTTGTGACATGCTGTGGTGATTTGTTCTCCATGTTTCCAATGTATGAAGTGGGCCCGAGATCGGCTACCTGACAGGCTTACCTTACGTGTTGATGGTCTTGTTGCATGTGCTGCCAAGTGGTCACAAGTGTCGGACTGTGAAGCTCTCCTAGAAGGGAGCTTGTCTCGATAGGAAGATCTCCTCTTAGAGGTCGATAATGCTAATGAGCACGAGTTGAGTTGAGAAGCCCGAGATAGTTTTATATGTTGTCGAGGTGACTCTTATCCTTTGAGATGACAGCAAGATGACGATCTCCGAGCTGAAGGCAAGACTGTAAGTCCACCCAAACGTGCCACATGTTCAGTAGTTTGAAGGTCGGATTTACTCTCATCAGTAGTGAAGAGTTGACACAGAAGAACAAAGTAGGATATGGAAATGGGATCAAGAGTGGCAATGATTTTATATCATTTCTTACCAGACTCGTGGTCTCTATTTGCTTGACCTTTTTTATTTCTCTTTTTATCTTATGATCAAAAGTAAAGCTTCAGATAAAGATATGCGGTTGTGCATGCTAACTTCCATGTCTGGTATTTGATTTAGAGACGAAAGAATGTGTGAAAAAATAAATGAAGAAACTGCATATGCTAACTCCAAAAACTACAAAAGAGATCTTTGTCCCCTGAATTTTAGAACAAGTTTATTGTGGTGTGAATTAGTCCAATATCTCTTATACTTGATTGGATAAACAAGTTCTTTTCGCAACTAGTTGGATAAATAAAATTAAAGCTAAGACAACAAACTAGTTGCGCAAGCTCATTGTTTCTGTTCTCTGTTAGCTATTGCTATATCTGTTTTGTGTCTTCTTTGTCGTTGGTCTGTCCTCTGTTTGCTGTTGCTCTTTTTTGTGTCTTCTTCATCGTTTGTTCAACCCATTGACGAGAAAAAGAGCATTTTTTTAACGTTTAAAAGAAAAGGGTAAAATGATCCAGTTCATATCATGAATGGTAGTTTTGTCAAGTGATGGCCTTGACTGATGGTCCGTTAAGGCGTTAATGGCAAGTACTAGATTGTTGCACTTTGAAAGTTCAGATACTGAGTTGTTACGTTTTAAAGTTCGGGAACCAAAGTGGCACTAGACCCAAAGTACAAGATACTAATCGGGAATTTTCCCTAATTTTATTGGTTTTATAGTTGGGATTCTAGCTTATAAGGGCAACTTTTGCACTCTAATATTAAAATAAAATCTTTTTTACATAATTTCTAGAATAGGCCACCTTTTTTTTTAAATATCAAACAAGGGCAGAAATACTGTTCATCTCCTTCTTCCTCCATACCACCTTACAAATCTCCCCCACCTCTCTCTCTCTCTCTCTCTCTCTCTCTCTCTTCTTCTTCTTCTCTGCATCCGAGTTGTTCCAAACACAGAGCAGAGCTGCTATGAGTTCTTCTGAAGCAGTTAGAACACATGAAACACCATACCAGGTACATGGATCGGCAGTTTGGTTCCAACTACTAAGCATGTTAAAGGTATCTAAAGCAGTTTTTAACGCCATTAAAGCCTGAAAATCGGGATTGGAAGAGATCTGCGAGTATGCTAAGTGGAGAAGTGAGATACACAACGAAATGAAAAAACAAAAGAGTGGGCTTCGCCATTTTTGCTTGCATCAAGCCTACAACTACAAGGACAAATAAAGTAGAGATCTGTGATCAATGTTTATTAATCTTGGAGGAGATTTATTGATAGTTTGGAGGAGGGAGGAGATGAACAGTATTTCTGTCCTTATTTGATAATTCTAAAAAAAGTTATCCCATTCTATAAATTATGTTAAATAGATTGTTTTTATTGATATTAGGACCCAAAAGTTGCCCTCACCAACTAGAATCCCTTTATTATTGTGGGATAGTGTTTTGGGGATCCCTAGATACAATATGATACGCCCAAATCTTTGCATTTGAACTTTGAGCCTTGGTGGTCACACATCCAATCGTCTGTCTGTATTTGAGTTGAAGGAATTTCATAGGGTAGGATGCAGAACAGAAGCAGCACTCTAGATAGCAGATGTTTTCCAAAGTTGAGAGGATCAGTGGATTGAAAAACTAACCCAAGCCACCAATCTTTGTTACCAGAGAGCGAGTGCGCCAGTACCCAGTAGTCCTCGACGTCTCCTCTGGTTCGAGCCCCACCTCATCAAGATAGTATTATTATTCGCTCGTTGCTGAACTGCAATTCTCAATATAGATTCAAATTTTAATGCATAAGAAGATCTGAAGATGCAAAGAAGTTAAAGCTTTCATATCCACAAAGGACTACCTTTTAGGCTTGTACTTTGGAGGTAAAAACACTGGGGTCCCCAAACTTTAATTTGACAAAGAGCTACCCTATACTTGCATTCTCAGTTTTGAACTTTTATTTTATGAGACCATTTTGTTCTCTATATAACTTTTCCTATCTTATTTTTTTTTTCTTGGTGGCTCTTTTGGTTCAGTAAATCAACCATGAAGGTGCATGCATAATTCCATATTCATTTTTCATAGAATGACAAATTGCCAAAAAAAGACATATCAAATTGGTTGAATTCTCTACTCCTTCCAAAACAAAAGAAATATGAGGTTTAACTCACAACAGCCCATAGGCAAGTAGAGTCCTTAATACAATTCAAAATGGTATTCAGGGACCAGCATCCCCCTAGAAAAGCAAAATGCAAAAAAAAAAAATGTTGAATAAAAAAAGATCCTTGCTACCTACCTAAGCTTAAAATAACTCCCTTAGCATGTTCTCAGGTATTACCCTGGGAGGACTAAAACTTGGGATTTTTTAAACCAAGAAGAAAGGGGGAGGGTATTAGAATCCTAGTGTTACTTTACAATAGCCAAATGACTTGCCTTTGAGAAGAGACTTTAAATGATAGAACATTCTGTCAGCCACTCGATCCTTGTTGACAGGAGTGAAATGTTCCAAATGACTCAAAACATGTTCAGTAAAAACATGACACCCTTGGGATTTTCAATTTCAAGGATGTTGGCAGAGCAGTTAAGTGTATGGTGCCCCTGTTCCACAAGAGATGACTACTATATATCAGAGATGGAAAGTCAGTACATTAGAAAAACTTTTATAGCATATGTGTGTGTGTGTGAGTGAGAGAGAGAGAGAGAGAGATTACAATTCAGAATTTTCTTTTCCTTTAAAAAAAAAAACTACCTTTAGATCTTACTATGTTCTCAAAGCTCGGAGTTTTAGCAGTGGTCTTATTGCTTATAGTTCTAATAACATTATTAAAACCAGAAAACTGTAACCAGATCTGGAGATCAGTCGGTCTAAGATCTTTGGACAATGCTCACTCACACAAGAAAAGCCATTACATAATGTTGGTCCCAACAGTCTGGGGTCTTGTGGGGGGTAGATAGCATATGCATACAGACCTGTACTTTGGAATTATTTTGCGCAATGTTCAATCACATGATAAATGTAAATCATCTTTGCAATTGTATTGTCCTTTATCAATGAAGCACAAGACCCAATCTATGGAGCTGGCATAATCATAGATTAGAATCATTTGTCATATGGTTTCCTTAGACATGCAGATCTCATATGGTTTATGAGATTTGCACCCCATTCATTGGATGGGTACAACAAAAGGTATCTTTATCTTCTTAGAATTAATATCAGTCAATAAGACCAAGATATGTAAAAATGAGCAGAGGAACCACACAAACTAGATCAGACTTCCCAACTGTTTCCGAATCCACCTCATCATTAACCTAAAAACAACCATAATCTCTCAACTAAATAAATGAGACAGTCTCATCATTAAGAACTCTCCATCATCAATCTGTTTCTCTCTTATTTTCTGATAGACTAAACACAACCTAAAGGAAAAGATTGTGAAGACAGCACTGAAACTTCTTTCAAAGGAATGGAGGAAGAGTACATTCATATTTACCAGTAATAAAATTTCAAATATTAAAAAAGAAATTCCCAATCAAAGTAAAATCCTAATGTTGCACTTTAGACCATAGAAGATAACCTTTACAAAGAAAAGGACAAATAAGAGAAAGCCAAAACAAAAATAAACTGGCATAAATCAGAGAAAGTGAAAAATCACTGTTTTCCTGAAACAATTGCTACAACACATGACAAAACACAGATTTTTTTTTTTTGAAAAATGATAAGGTAATATTATTAATGAAATAGCACACATGACTAAACACAGATCTACCCATTGAATAGATCATAAGTACCTTTGCTGGGAAAAGAAAACACACAGGAAATCCTCGTAAGTTCCATAAAAACAAGAAAATCCTTGAAAGAATTGTGGCAAGTAGTTAGTGCTTTCAGTGGAACTTAAAATCAAAATCTATGATACCCAGATGCAAGGGTGGAATATTGTGTCAGATACTTCAATTTTTAGTGTAAATTTTGTATCCTATACCATGTCAAGTCATGTCCATGCCATATCTGTGTAATATAACTGAAAACAAGAAATGGGAATCCCAATATCTAACTTTTATTTGCCTGAAGATAGTCCACAGCAGATAGGATAATTAGGGGGAAAGAGATAATGGCAAATCCTATATCTATTACATAAGAATGAAAGCTTTGACTGGGATTCGAGAATATCTGTGATCCTTATAAATTTATCATATACTGCAAATGCCTATAATATGCATGAATAATTTCCATATTATTGGCAACTAACATAGGGTATAGCAGACTGGACCTAGTAACGGGGAATCTGAAATTTAATTGTCTATCCAATGCCAAAACTTGGTACTTACAGAATACTTGCTGTAATTTGTAAATGCATCCAATAAGGGCATACAACAATGAAAAGGTA